CCCCTGGAATATTTTGCCACCCATGCCCACCCATTTACTCTACTTCCTGAGAAAACGTATCCCAGAGAGAGGATTCACAGTTCCCACATTTCGTTTTTAGCTTACAGCTGCTCCAAGGAATACCAAGTGGAGGCTTCTCATTATCTCCCCTCTTTCCAAAGGGAAAAAATGCCATGAGTTTGGTGTCTTCTTTCTTGCACTCCTTCAGAGGAGCCGGGGGTAATCCCTTTGTTGGCACTTGATAGTCTCTGAAGACTCTGAAATGATCAGTAACACAAAGTCAAAGATGGAAGCACGTGGCTTTCCACTACCGAAATCTTTCTGTGGCTCTCAATTGCACTTAGATTTTCACATTAACTCCTTGCCAAGGCCTTCACCTTCCAACCATGTCTCGCCCATTTGTTCATACCTCCAGTCACTCTGGCCTCCCTCCATCCCTCTAATATGCTAAGCTTGCTTCTGCAAGGACCTTTGTTTGCACTTGCTGCCCTGCTGCTTGGAGGACTCTTCTCTCACATCTTGGTTTGTCTGGCTCCTTCTTGTCCTTTAAATCCAAACCCAAATGCCAGCTCCTCAGAAAACTTCTGACCACCCATTTCAAGTGCCCTCTACCCTACGCATCATTGTTTATCTCATTACCCACCTTTGTTTTCTTGTGAGTACTTGACACTGTCAAAAATTGATCTGGTGTACTTATTTGTTTTGTTTTGTTTTTTTGAGACAAAGTATCACTCTGTCACCCAGGCTGGAGTGCAATGGCACGATCTTGGCTCACTGCAACCTCCGCCTCCTGGGTTCAGGCAATTCTCCTGCCTCAGCCTCCTGAGTAGCTGAGATTACACATGCACACCACCACGCTGGCTAATTTTTGTAGTTTTAGTAGGGACAGGATTTCAACATGTTGGTCAGGCTGGTCTCGAACTCCTAACCTTGTGATCCACTCACCTTGGCCTCCCAAAGTGCTGGGATTACAAGCATAAGCCACTGAGCCAGGCCTATTTGTTGTTTTTTTAATCGTCTGACTCTCCTTGCCAGAATGTGAGAGATGAGGGACCTTGTTGTATTCCCAGCACCAGAATAGTTGCTGTTATATTGCAGGTATAAGATTTACATAAATATCTGTTGAATAAATGAATAAATAAATTAATGACTACATGAACACAGCAAAAGGCTTGAGGAGAGAAGGATCAGAGTGCAGTGATTCAGTCATCAAGACGGTGATGGGCCTGCCTTCCTCTTCTCAAGGACTGGGGCACCTGAGGCCAGCTGAGTGGGCCTGGAATGCTGGCATCACACCAGATTGTCTGCCTACTTTTCCTCTCACCCATTATTCTAGGTCCAGGCTCCCCCCCCGACCCCACTTCTCCTCCTCCTTCCTTCCCTCTCCCTCCACTGTCATTACATTACATTCATTAGAAGCCAGCAGATTCAGACCCTCCTGTTGTCTTTTTCATAAAGGACTGTTAATGGAGTTAGTTTTCAGCAGGGAAACTGCAAACTGTTGTCAAAACTCTGACTTGGCCATGCACATTCACATAATTAATCACATAGGAAACCAGAAAGGGGCAGCATGAGGGCCAGGGCATAGCTGTGTGGGGGCCCTCTTCACAGAGAGTAGTGTGGTGCATCACACAGCTGCTGCCCACCAAGAGCCCACAGTTCAGGTTGGAAACAAGACAACCCAACTGGAACCACTACAGAGTAATACAAGTCAGGATCTAATTAGCACTGGAGGGTAGGAGGTGGCCCTCCACCTTCAAGATGTTGGTAACAAGAGATTGGTAACAAAGGAAAGGAGGTTAAATGGGCAAGGTAGAGGCTGGAGACAGAAACAGGATTAAAGACAGTCTCTTCTAGAATTGTAACAAAGAGGGCATTTGTTGAGTAATGTATTCTCTATTGTTGTGTAACAAATTACCACAGACTTAGTGGCTTAAAACGAAATACACTTATATGGTTTAAACATTTATAGTTTTAAACTTACATTTATACAGTTTCTGTAGGGTCAGAAGTCTGGTAACAGCTTAGCTGTGTGCATTGCTTGTGGCCTTGGTCAGCCAGGGCCAAGTTCTCATCTGATGGCTTGCCTGCGGAAGGATTCACTTCCCCACTTGTGTGGCTTCTGCAGCATTAAGTTCCTTGTGGTTGGTGGACTGAGAACTTCTGTTTCTCGATGGCTGATGGTCTGAGGCCACCCTCAGCTGCTAGACATTTCCCACAGTTCCTTGCCATTCCTTACCACATGGGTTTCTCAAACTTGACCACTTACTTCATCAAGCAGCAAGGAGAATCCCTAGAGCAAAGTGGCTAGCAATATGTAGTATTATTTATCATTACATAATCACAGAAGTGACAGCCCATCTCCTTTGTCATATTCTATTGTTTAGAAGAAAGTCACAGGTCCGGCCTGCGCTTAATGGGAGGGGATTGTACAAGGATGTGATCACAGGAAATGGGGAAAGGATTATGGAACAGCCACTCCAGAGGTTATCCACTGCCCCAGAGGATATCAGCCACCCCAAAGGATATCTGCTACCTATTAGGTTTAGGACTGTACCAAATATTTTGACATGTATTACCTCAGTTAATCACTAAAACAACCTGTAAGGCAGGCATGCACAGATAAGAACATGAGGCTGAGAGGATTGAGAACTTGCCCTAAGTCCTGCCAACGTTAAGATGGGGACCACCATCACATCAAGTGAACTTGTGTGATCGTAGAGGGTGGAGGGCTGGCACCCTTATAGTAAGGAGCAAGGGCCCCAGGGAGGCAGGGAGAGCAAGAGGGGGATAGCTCCCCTTGAGGGGTGAGACCAGGAAGAAAGGATGGGTATGGATTACATTTCAAGAATGAAGGAAACTGAGAGCACTTATATCTGCGGATCTCTATTTTCTCAATGAAGCAGAAAATGAGGGTGTCTCCTGAGAGAGTGGAGGTTGGGCTAGAAGGGAAGCAGAGCCAAGTTGGAATAGCAGCTGTGGGGAATGGGGAATGGGAATTTTACTAGCATGCCTACAAAGTTGTCAGGTGGAATAAGGCTGCTTCCTTCATGAAGACTGCAGCATAGGCTTGGTGGGTGGCCCCCAGCCCCTCCCCCAGCGCTTCCTGTGCTCACTTTCATCACCACGCTTTGCAGTGCTGCAATTTACACCCAAGTCCATCTCTGTAATTAGATGGAAAGTTTTTACAGGGCAAGAACTTAACAGTAGTGTGTAACATGCCTCCCTGTACCCAGCACAGGGGATGGCACATGGAAGTCCTCTGCAAATGGCCAGTTTGATTCCAGACCCTGAATTTCTAAATCACCCTATTATCTCTCATCCCCTCATCACGCAGTTCTAAAAGACTGTTCAAAAATATGTATTTTTACTTTTTAGTGCAGTAGAGTAGAAAGTGTAGGTCCTCTATCATAGAATAGGGTTCCTTAGAGGTGAAGTTAGCAAGGTCTGTTGCGTGTATAACCTGGTGACAAAAAATCAGCTTTGCCTTTTGGCCCAGTATTTTGTACCTCAAGAAGTCAAAAGAACCATTTCAAAATATTCCATTTCAATCTTTATTGATTGGTATGAAATGTTGCCCACAGTATATTGTTGCCTGAAAAATCTAGTTACCATACAGACACTTAAAGCACAATTCCATTTGTGTCAAATTATTGTCAAGCAGAAAAAAACCTAAGTCAAACCATCTCAGGGAAAAAATGAAATGTGTTATCTTCAATGAAAAGTTTAGGAGAATGTTCTGATGCTACAGGGATTCTGTCATCTCTGCCTCCTTCTTGGGTGCTATGAGATGGCAAATGGCTGTCAATATCTCCTGGACTACAGTGTCCCCCAGGACTCCTTACACAAGCCCAGAGATCCCCCCTGATAGGAACAACTTGGGTCACATGCCCACCACTGAGCCAGTAACTATGGCCAAGGCGATCTTCCCCTCTGATCCAGCCTTGGTCACAAAAGGGAGTCAGGGTGCTGTGAACAAGAAGAGTGGATGCCACATGTTATACCTCTATCCACTGAAAAACTGACTGGTCTGGTCCACCAATCCCCGCCGTTTTTTTTTTTTTTTTAAATCTGCCCCTTGCGTCCTCCTGATTAGGAAATACCCCTAGGGGTTCACCCTGCCCCCACTGAGCATATCTAAGTGTTGCTGGAAATCCTGGGTCCCTTCAGGCCCATCTCAATTCAGATGTCATATGTTTCTTCTGGGGCCTGAAATGGGAGCTTGAACTCCAGGCCTTCTACAGGCAGTGTCCCCAGTCCTGCCACTCGTGTAGCAGAGTCAGACCTCATGTTCCTGAACCTGGGTCCTCCAACCTGGATCACCACTCAGAATGAGTGTGCTTCTACCTCCATGACTGCTGCTTTTACTGGCCCAAGCCACACCTTTGCTTACTGCTGACACTTCTCTCAAAGTTAGTCCTTCCCTCCTCTCCCCTCCATTCCCCTCCTTTCCCTTCCCCTCCTCCCCATTCCCTCACCTTTCTTCCCTTCCATTCTCTTCCCTTCCCCGCCTCCCTCTCCCTTCCCTCTCCCTCCCTTCCTCCTCCT